TTCACAGCAGGAACACAAGGGGATGTAACAATTTTGTGGTTCCCGATGTAAATTGTCAATGGGACAAAGGGCATTTTACTTTCGGGGTCCAAGGGAATGGAATGGGCTAGCCGACAATCATAAGAACACTAAAGAAATTGATAGTTTTAAGCGGACACTTTCTAACGATATGGTACATACGAAATAATTTTTTGGACATATTTTGAATAATTTTGAATATATTTCAAATTTAATTAAATTACTGTAAATAGGTTTTATTAGTTAATATTGTTTTCTTAGTTTTCATAGTTAATATTGTGACCGAAAAGCCCTGTTGAAGGGAGTCTCAGTAACGTATGTATGTATGTAGGTACAGTGGAACCCCGTTAATACGACCACCTTCGGGCCATGGAAAATTGGTCGTGTTAACGGGGTGGTTGTATTAAAGGGGTTCTTTAAATAGGAAAATGACTGAATGAGCTTTTTTTCGGGTCATAATAACGAGGTGATCGTATTAACGGGGTGGTCGTAAGGCAGAGTTCCACTGTACTAATAACTTGATGTAATATTTGGATGAGTGTATGACGTCACCAGTCCTCTCATTTGCTTATTTTACACATTTTTCAAACTTGAATATCTCCGGAACCAATGCAGATATTTGCAAACAGTAAACAGCTTTTTTTTATCGTTCGTAGAATTCTATGAGATTAACTTAAAAATTCGTACGGATAAAATTGGACCATACTACCACTTTAAAAGAATTAAGAATTGCCTATGGCAAAAATAATTTGAGAGCTACTTGTCCCAAGGGCAAGTTGGAATTCAAGTTTTTTGCGAACCCTGCACCAGTCACACGCAGAGGAAGGCGAGGAAGCCATGAGTAATGAGTGATTCAACAGTGGAACAAACAAAAGAAACATATACTGTTATAGTGTTAAATTTTACCGAGAGAGAGAAAAAAATGCTTGCAACAATTAGCAGGCTCAAACAAACTCAGGAATTGCACTATACACGTAAATAAAAATAATGACAACACGTACACCAAACCAAACATGTAGCAGTACATGCATGCACAGTATCTACGGGATAGAATATACCATTATCTACTGTATATTCACTGTAACTATCAGCCCTCCAAACCAAATACAACTTAATAGTGTTGTGCAATAAGTTCCCAAAATTTTGGGAAATTGCAGATTTGTCATCACTTAGTGTCAGACTGCTTCTTTTAAACTATTGTATGTTTGAAAAGATTTGACATAATTAATCTTCACTCTTGTCAAGCAATAGTAAGAGTATAAATACGATTTCCTCAGATAGAGGAACAGAAGAAAGAACACAAGGCAACAAATCTTATTTTTGGTGAAAAGGAAATGTTCATTATGTCACAAAGTGTGGGACAAAGAGACTTGAAGTCATGATCATGTCCTCTCAGATGATGATTGCCTGCTCTAACCACTGAGCTATGGGATGCATGGGGAGCTACATGTAGGCCATTAATAACATATTTCATTTCCA